TGTGTGTGTGTGTGTGTGTGTGTGTGTGTGTGTGTGTGTGTGTGTCTAGGGACAGCTTCCTGGACTTTTCTGTGGCGTATCGGCAGATTTCAGAACATTTGACATTTTCATATAATATATTTAATAAAAAGATAATATCCGTTATAAAATTCACGTTAAGAGTATTCATTGTTTTTTAAATCTTTAATATAAAAAAGAAAAGAAAAATTGAATTTTAGCTGTTATGAATCTTCCTAAAAAAACGTTAGTTATATTTATAATTACATCTCTATCCTACTGCATCGAAATAATTCAGAATGCATAATTAAGAAGGATTTAGTTAATAGGCTTTGCATTGAACGTTTCTTTAAGACGTTACGTTTCTCTTCCTGCGGATTCTGATTTCTGACTCTTATGAAACTTTTATGAAAAATTGTCGGCAATTATACCAAGTCCGAAAACGGGAGCGCGGTCTACGGAAACTGCATTCCTGTATCCGAAAATACGTGACCGTCGACGAAGCGAAAATTCGACGAGGCCGTCATTTCGTGAGTCGGCAAGAGCTTCAAGCAACAGGATGGTAAAGTGATCGTTGGCGTGCTGCCACGTAGAATCATTTACTAAAAGTCACGGGCTGCGCGATCGAAACGCATGGTAACATTGGTAACGGCAAATAGCAACGGAAATCGGATTGAAATCGGATTAAACATAGAGATGAAATCGGATTGAAGTCAAATCAAACATATGCGATTCGTGAACGCATCTACGAACAATCCTGGGTAAAGGAAGTTAAGCGGTATATCAAATCAAATAACAAGTTACTTGAAAGAGTAAAGAAAACTATCAGGCAAGATAAAAAACAAACTACCACTTGACTTGTCTTTCGAGAGGAGAGAGAATTTATGAAACAAACAAGATTATATATGTATAATATCTGTAGAAAGAGAAAGAAAAGAAGCAATTGAATTGAAAAAGATTAAATACAAATATTATATCAATTTGATTGTTTCTTTTCTATCTTTCTACATTGAAGATTAAAAAAAAACAATGAATACTATTAAAGTGAATTTTATAATATAACATAATAATTCTATAACAGATATTAGCTTTTAATTTAAAAGAAAAAAATATATATATGAACAAAAGTCTTAAGTATTTTGTGTGTGTCTTTTGGACGTTCGCCTGTCTACATTTCTATCAGCTTCGTGAGAACTTTTTGCCAAACAAAATAAGAGGACAATTCGATACAACCCAATCTGTCTCTTTTTTCAAATATTATAAAATTAATCTAAAAATGTTGAGCAGATTAAATTTATCAGAAAATGATTATATTTCTTCCATTTTTCAAACAATGAGTTAGATATTACTGCGTGAAATCTTTTAATTACTTTTCAGCGCAATCAAAAGAATCGATAGGGTAAACCGCGATAGGAGGAAACAAGTCGGCGAACAAAGTTCTTTCAATTGAAATCTTAATCCCTCCGTTCGTTCGATCCCTCCGACGATCCCATTCATTCGTCGTTCGAGCTCGAAAGATCGCGCGTGGTAAGATCTCGACGAGGAATCTCCGTGACGAGCGAAACGCGAGTACTTCCTCGCGGTAGCATTCGGTATAACGTCTACCTACGCGCTGCAACTCGCCCGGCCTATTTATAAAATGCGACCTCGTGGCACACACCGCGATCGCCACTACCGCCTACCTATCATGGTCGTCCCGCGTGCAAATCAGCGCGCTGTCTAGCCCGCTTCTTCCCAATTTCCGAACGTATATAACGAAAAACGGGTCAAAGCTATTTTCGCGCCGAAACGGCCCTCAAAGCCACGAAAGTGCCGACGATGCCTCGTTATAAGTTATAACGAACGCCGCCGCGTGTACCGCGTGTACCACGCGCGTGTCGTGCGTACCGTCTCCTCGATTTCGCTCTTCCGCCTCTGTTGTTCCTGAGCAAATCTCTCGATCTGGGAACGATTTAGGACAAATCTGAGAACGTCGCAAAGAAGAAGGTAGGCCGTTTGGATGCGCGAGCTCCACGTGATCGGCTAAACTTTAATCATCCGATTGCGATCCCTGCCGTATCGCGCGCGTGTCTGGTTTGATATCAGATTCATTGCAATATGCGTATCTCTGAATTAAATCTTAAAATCGAAGTCGCTTAATGTTTTTTTTTTTTTTCGTAAATTTATCAATTGACAAAAGAATACAACGTATTCATCAAAATCGACGACACATAACACATACACAGCACGCGTAATAAATTTTGGTTTATAATTTAAAGAAAGAAATATACGCAGGTAAAATTACTATCCTGTAAGGGGTAACACGGATATCGCTGTATGTACATTGCAAGCGTCGAATTAAAATGATTCGGTCATATCATCGAGCTCATTTAAATTGAAAAGTGGAAAAATCAAGAATCTTGTGGCTCTCTCCGATATTTTTAAATAAAATGGCAACTAAATGAGAATCTTTTTTACTTTAATACGCATTATCGGTAAGGAAAAGGTAAAATATTGCAAATATTATCGTTTTCTAATAGCGGTGTTTACTTTTCCAGGCGTCCAATCGAGGCGGCGCTGCCGAAATGTCGGGAATAGAAGGTGAGGGCCCCTTTACGAGCTCTGTCACGACCATGTTGCTTGAGTATCGTCGTAGATAGATAAACGAGTGTCAGTGGAGGAAGTCACGGGGGAACCGAGCGTAATTCAGCGTATGCGTGCAAAAAAAATGTAATGTTCAATATGATCAACGTAATGTGTAACGGAATGCAGAGCGTATTAACCAAAAGATTCTGGACGACCGCATTCTCGCACAATCAAAACGTACCTCTGTCTACTGCCTCATCTGGGGGGGTGCAAACAGTTTACATCCTGTCGCATCTCCGCGATATACATACATAATGCCGCTGTGTTCGCCACTGCACTGACGATGTTTATTAACAAGAAAGCGTTCGCCGAGCTACGTCATCGATCTTTATAAAACTCTGCCTCTCTAAAACGGCAAAAAATAATAAGAATCATCTATTTATTCTTCTCTTGTCGATAGAATTGAGATTTAAAAAAATAACAAATTACAACATTTTTATCCTGTAACTTTATATAGATATTTTTTTCAAACATGATGCTTTACATTATTAGAATATTTTTTACGGTGGCCACATGTGCCCCTACCAAGATGACACCACATTAATTAACCGCGCGCAAGCAAAACGTATACTTTCTCGTGAGCGCTCGACCGCGCCGACTAAATAAACAAATTCGGCAACAATACATCATTTCCGTTCATCCAACCATACTTCTCTCCATCATCATGCAACGACCAACGACACTAATCCCAAAATGTACTTATTGATTTTGGTGTCTCTCCGATTGATGGCGATTGAAATGTTCTACTTATCTACTAGATAATGATAATAGGCTGCTATATTGCATCACAGTATTTGTCACCTTGTATATATACAGAGTGTGCCATTTTAATTTATCCACTCAAATATCTCAAAACCTGTAAGTTTTAGAAGGAAAAAAGTTTTAGAATTCAATTATGTATGGCTAATTACATATGATCTTATATAATTATATAAGTCCATTTTTTCTCGGGTATAGGTAAAATGTCACGGAGAGATACTAAAACTCGATTACTTGATTTGATCTCATTACGTGAACTCTATATGAATTACATGTTCTTATTATGGACGATCTTTCCCAATACTCTTCGAAATGCGTACTTCAATATTTTGCCATTGGCTGTAAAGGTGCTCGATGTTCGATTAATAAATGCATTTCCAACGTGAAAATAGCGTTGTTCTCAGATATTGGGAAAGATCGCGTCCATACTAGGCACATGTAATCCATATATAATACATATATAATATATTACAATCTTATCCATCTCGCTTATCATCTTACCCATCTTACTTCTATTATCTCAATCGGTTTTCATCAGGCATTAATCATTTCTATTATAACGCAAAATTTGGATTAAGCATCAGCTGGAAAATGCGATTTCTTACGCCGATTTTAATAATTTCAATAATTGCGCATGGATTAGCAAATATTACGGACACAAAACTTAATCTTATATAAATTATTAAGATAAATTATTAATATAATAATAAATTATTTGAGGATCCATATATAGAGTTCATGTAACGAGGCCAAATCAAGTGAATATAATCAGTATCTCTCAGTGACATTTTACCTATACTAGTATTCGCACCTTGCGAGATAGCCAGACATTACTTTGAAATGCGTACTTAAATATTCTGCCATTGGAGGATGCCTCCAAAAATACCATGCGACTCTCTGCGAGTCGCGATGGTGAGACTCCACAAGTACGTATATGCCTGCCTCGCTCTTGTCGTTCTATGAGATCGGTGAGAACGTCGATCAGGGAAATGAGTATTTGTTGCCGAATTTGTTTATATATTTTAGTCGGCGCGGTCGAGCGCTCGCGAGAAAGCGCGTTTTGCCCGCGCGCGGTTAATTACATAGTGTGATGCCATTTTGGTAGGGGCACATGCGGCCACCACAATTTAAAAAAACATAATGAGAGATCGTTGCATCTTAAATTATTTTGTTGTGACTATCAGTTTTTTTGAGTTACGTAAAAATCGGATTTGATTCTGAAACATGAACATATTGTCGAACATCACACGCATTCTCTGTCATGACGCATAAAATTTTACGACTAACTCATCGAGAACTTTAATCTTTCAAGCGCCGTTGCGCTTTCATTCGTCATCGAAAAGAGACATCTTTCATTGCGGATGATCGCTTCTCATCTCTTTCCGATTAACGTATACGTGCGCTTGTATTGCCGAAACGATTATTATCTTCAACTCGCTTTTCGCAGATTCGCAGAACGAGGAGCAGGATGACACTCAAAATGAGACCCCGGAAACAGCGGAAGTCAGCAATGAGGCAGCGAGCACGATAGAAGAATCAGATAGCTCGGAGCTATCGGAAAAATCATCTACGAAGGAGTCGGAGGAGGAACGAGAGGAAGTTGAGGAAAAGGAACGGGAAGAAGTAACGGAAAAAGAACGGGAGGAAATTAAGGAGACAGAAGCGAAAGAGACGCCGAATCGCGAAGAAACGCAAGAAGAAGAAGAAGAAGAAGAAACGCCAGCGTCAGGTTAGTGATGCGCACTTCGATCAATCAAGTAAAGCACCAAAAAGTACAGAGAGAATTCGAGAACTTAGCAATCTTAAGTATGAAAATATTTGTGTGAGGATATTATTAAGCTCCAATAAGTGTTGCGAGATTCAACACGACTTCGATATGATAATTACGCAATTAAAACAAAGCGATTAAAACAGCAATGCAAACAACAATATCACATTAATGCATTTATAGTTTGAAAAGAGCTACAATCTACAAATTTGTATCACTTACTTTTGATCCATGAAATTTAGTATAATGTCAAAAGAGCTAAAAAAAATTTCGAAAATGTTACACGTTTGTAACACATTTGGTACGTTCCCACATGTATTTAGGATAACGATACGTTGTAGCAAAGTATATCGCTGAAATGGTGCGCTAGAATGTGCGCAGGCACACTCTCCGGTTTCTGAGAATTTGAAAATTTGATCTTGTGCCATCTTGTTTTTGTTACCTCCTTCCAACATTAGACACCTTGGTATAATTAAACTTGGGAGGAGGATTAAAGCGCGCTGAATCTAGATAAACAATACAATTTGATTAGACTTGGGCCAATTAAGAGGACTAATTCGCGTTTTCTTGAGAACTTAGATTCTGTTGCCTTCCGCCGGTTTGACTCTTCAGCTAAGGAAAATTAATTTTCACTTACCACCTTGATGCAAAGTTGGAAATTCGTCTGAAATTAAGTTCGTCGTTTTTGGGACATCTCGCGCCAGTTAAAATAGAAATTTTATTAATCTTAAAGAAATTGCGTACAAGCTCACGCACCGCGTAGAACGTGCGCGGCGTGTTTATCCCGTCGCGCTTGTCGCAATCGGCGTCGCTCACCAAGTCATCGGCGGGTGTTTGCGTTAGCGCTACCATTATTCGCATAGACGTTCGCGCGTTTATTTGACTAGCGACGTCAGCGGATAGTTCGGCGCGGATATACAGCGCGGATCTGCGTTTCGCGGTATGTTTCAAGGAAATCTAAACTTTCTTACGCGCGAGAACTATTTCGGTCGCGCTACAGGTTCCCGCATTATTTACAAATCTTACGCTCTCGCGGCGATATACAATTACACAGTTACCTGATACTACAATGGAAATGCCCGATATAAATTCTCGGAATATGAAATATCGTTACGTACAACGGAGACTAATGGCGCTCTCAAAAATAGAATTATTGACGGAAACGAGAGAGAGAGAGAGAGAGGGGAGGAGAGGCGGAAGACAAGAATATCGAAATAGCATAGGCAATACACTTAGACTGAGACAATGAACGGAGTAAAAGAAGATAAAATAATGTGGGAAGAAAGAGAGCAGAAAAATTGGCACAAAGAAGATCCAGTAGAAGAGAAATACCACTGGCTAGACGTTAGCGTGTTAAGAATGTCTAAAGCGAGAAATCTGTATTGTCGCTACAATTTTGAAGATCTCGCTTCCGTCAGGCAAAAAAAATGTTTTTGATAGATACGGACATATTTACAATCCGCAAAAAGAAGGCTGCGCTACGAAAGCTTTTCCATCCGGAAAGAGAAATGAAATGGGCGGATAGAGCAAAGTGGAACGCAGCAACTGGGGTGCAACCAATGTTATGTATCTGTGCGCACATTCGCTACCTTATCCCATTCAACAAAATAACGGATTAAATGGAATATATTTCTGGATTATTTTTTATAATTAACTATATATACTTTTGATCGAGCAAACGCGGAAGTTTCGAATACTATTAACGTGTAAAGGAGAGAAACGAGGACAGCGTTGTTTTTGTCAAATCAGCGCCAGGCAGTCTCATCTGACGTTATTTCGCAATCGTTGCTGTTACAACGCCTTCATTTCCAAAAATAAAAATTCGAGACGACACACGTGGTTGCATTACGGTGCAACAACAACGCGACAACGTGATTAATGGCGCAGATGCGGCGCGGGCAAGCTGTTATTAGACGGTTATACCCACTGTGCAAAATCGGTTGCGATAAAGAAACGCACGGGCGTATTCGGACCTTTGTGACGACTTCGCCTTGTATAACACGCGGGTAGTTTCGCGGCGTACGCGCGAGCGCTTTGCCTTGCCTCGCCTCGCCTCGCCTCGCCTCGCCCCGCTTCGCTTCGCTTCGCTTCGCACAGCAGCTGCACAGGCGTCGAACGAGCGACCGAAAATAAATCCCCGCAGAGAGAATCCCCGTACGTTGTTTTAAATAAAGCGAGCGCGCACACGCGATAGCCGAAGCCGGTCAGCGCGCGCGTTTGGTCGCGCGATCTCCGCTCGCGCGAGCCGCTCTCTTTCTTTCTCTCTGCTCTCTTCTCTCCTCGCGAGGATCGCGAAGAAATCGCGCGCGTCCGCTTCGCAGTAGTGGCAAGACGACCGCAACCGGGTAAAAATACTGGTGTTTCGACAGTTCCGCGCGTTAAAATTCACTGTTGTGCGGGTTCCGCGTTTTTTCTCGCCCCGCGCGATCGTCGTTCGATCGCCCGCGGTCGCGCATCCCTTTAGGGGAGGAAGATTAACCGTGCAATCGAGCGACGTCCGAGGTATCGAAGCTGATCGCGGACACGACAGACGCGCGGGACGGATTGTCGCGCGCGAAACCGGTTGTTTTACAATGCTTCTAACAAACTGCCTCGCGCGTCCCGCGAGCCGCTCCCGCAGCTCTCGCGGCTCTTAAAACGCACGACGCGTTGACGCGCCGAAGAGAGACGTGCCGAGGCGGCTGGACGTGCGATGTGCGAGGTCTCGGCAGCGCGCGGTGTCTCTTCGCGAAGCGATAAGCGAGCGCGAAGCGAGTTACATTGGAAAACACAGTGTCGATCTGTGAAAATTACGCGTTTTCTTCTTTTCTCTTTTTCTACGGTTTAAACGTGAAAGAGTAGCGTTTGTTAAAATTCACGGATCTCTCTCGTAAACTGACACGATCGCGTTCCGATAGGAAAATAGTGTTCAATTCTGCGAATGTCGGAATAGTGCTTATTTCTTCAGTTATTCGATATTTTGCCGTTGATGTTTTAAAAATTGATTTTTTTTAAGTAATTTCTACGCTTCTTGTCACTCGCGCGATATATGCTACAACCGTAATCCGAGCGTAAAGCGCGTGACATTGATGGTGCTTTCGAAAATAAATGTCGGAAGTTCGGAGGAGAATCTCGCGTCTTGACGACGATCGTGTCTCTGTTAAACGACAAATCGTTGTGAAGTAAATTCTGGCAGCAAGACACGGGTATACGTATTTACGATGATTTCACCGACGCGAGTAATCTAATGTACATAATTCAGTCTTCGAGAAGCACCACTTGTCGAGATTTACGCTCGGACTCTTCAATCGCGGATTAAAAATAGCGATCGTTCTGGCAGAAAAGCAGTGAGTTTTCTTCCACTATTCGACTAGCGAAGCAGTATTTTGCCGTTGGTATATTTTCTCCACGTAGTCTGAAAACATAGTAGGTATGTTGTATGGTTTTAACACTTGCGTAAAAGCGTAATTTTATTCTTACGTTACGAGAGTTTACCTCTATGGGAGTTAATTTTTATATAATATTTTTTATATAATATTTTTACATAATTATCCGCCAACAACTCATACTTATTGTTTCATTAAATATTACAGTGCATATAATTATAATATAAAAATGTGAAGTGTATAAACTCTATCTATAGTTACATATTAGGGATGCTAAAAATATTTATCTTTATTATATAATGATCCAGTCATTATGTATACCTACATACATGCAATATAGATGAAAATCGTTAAAATTTATTGGCTACTTTTTGAATACATTTAATTTAATAATCTCCAGCGACATAACAAAACTGACATGTGTAGGAAAGAACGATGAAAACGCGATAATTGTTTTAATTGAAAACTTTTCGAATCAAAATTAAATAATCTAATTAAATAGACTCAATGTGATTATGCGAATGATCCTGATTTTGTCCGGTCTGTTTCTCCCCAGCAGAGCTGGCGACCGTCACGAGGAGCGCGTCGTCGGACGACGGCGTGCCGGTGTCGGGGGTAGCCGCGAGGCAGGCGGAACCGGGCGTAGGGGTGCCACTGGCAACCACCGTCGACGACAGCACCGGAGACGGACAGCAGCGTCGCGTCAGCGGCGGTCCCAGTGCGGCAGTCGGTGAGTGGAATTCATTGCCGGTACTGGTAGAACGTCTGCGCGAGGCGCTCGAACTGTCCCTGGCAGCGGGTTGCCGGCGAGGCGGCGACGAGCCGACGGCGACGTCGCTCGTCGTGCCCGGCAACGGGATCGGCGACCGGTCCTGCGCGCGCCGTTCTATGGAACAGGCGTTACTCGGCAGCGACCACGATTGCAACCACGACGCGCCCGTGTCGAGGAAGGACGAGCTCAAGTTCCTGGAGGATCTGCTGCTGTTGGACATCCAGACCGCGCTCTCCCGTTTGCGCGAGACGCTCGAGCGTACGGACGTCGCGACGCTCGCGAAGCACGGCGGCGTGTCGGATCCCACGAGTAAGCTACATCTCCTGCGACTGGTCTCGAGCTTGCTGTCGCGGCTGCAGGTGCCGGCGGAAGAGAGAGAATCGGGTAGCAACGAAGGCGGCAAGACGACCGACGTCGCGGCGCAGGGCGGCGGTGCGCCGCCCGGACGAAGACGGCGACCCGTCCGACACACCATCGGCGTCTCCGCCGAGGAGATCGCACGCGCGAGAAGGCAGCTGGAGCAGAGCAGCGCGGACCTGGCGAGATTGAACGATCAGGTGTTTCCGGCTGAACGACCTGAACCGCTGCTGGCCGCGTCGCGTAACGTGACGAGCGGCGAGAGGCCGCATGTGGAGGAAATCCACGACAAATACACGAAGGACGTGATTAATCAGCGTCAGTCGTTGCGCGACAGGAATAAGGACACCGGTGCGTATCGGCCGCTGATCCCGCCGCAGATTGGTTACGCGGATCGACCGGCGATCACACCCAGAACGGCGGATGAGACGAGTACGCGTCAGACCCGACGGGACGGTGTTAACGGTTACCAGGAGAAGGTGAGCGACGACGAGGAAACCGCGATCAAGAGGGCAAGCGAGGAGCAGAGTCAGGTGACGAAACTCGCGGCGGCGCTTCGACAACGCGCGGAGCTGATCAGCGCCGGCAAGTGCAACAACAACGGCAGCAACAAGTTCGCGGCGAAGAAGTCGAAGATCAAGCGCGCCAATACCATCGACATACCGAGCTACTTGAAGTTACAGGCCGATAGTCTCGGCTACGACAATCCCGGCTGCGTGGTTCTGCGACGGCCCATCAACGTGGGTGATAAAATCGCCGCGAACGCGTCTAATCTCGGCGTTCCGTCGTTCCAGCCTAGAACGGAGAATGATAAGAAGTTCCTGGCGTTGATCAGCCGGAACAACGAATCGCAAGCGTACAACGCCGCGCCCGCCTTTGTCAAACCCTTCGGCCACACCAAGGCGACGGATATGTCGCAGACGAACGAAAATTGGAACAGTCGGTTCTCGAACATCAAGACCGCTTTCGATAAGTCCTCGTCCGCGAACGATACCGACAAGTTGTCACCAAGATTGCAAAATGTCGCGAAACGCTTCATCCCGGATATGCCCCAAACGTCTCCTCAAGTTCCGGCGAGTAAGAAGACGCCGACTGGGGGCGGCGCGGCACACAACGGCTTCCCGTTCGCAAACGCAAACGTGCCGCAGCCGGACGCGGGCTTCAGACACGCGCCTTCGTCGCTGTTTCGAAAGATCGAGAAGCCACAAACGCCGAAGTCCCCGCCAGGCCATCACTGGCAGAGGGACAACGCGCCACCATCTGGAAATTCCTTACGTGAAAAAGCCAGGATGTTTGACCGAGATAGCAACCAATCCCAACCGTCGTCGTTCAACGTAAACGAGAATACCCAGAAATCTCTCTTCCCTCGACCGCCGTGGATCGAGCACGATAGAAACGAAGGCAAATCGAACAAGATGGTCACCGAGAACGGACGGCTCGATTATCGGCTGTTCTGCAAGCAGTTCGCGCCCTTCATCGGCAAGAACGCTGCTCCGGAAATCAGGAGTATCGAAGATCCTCGCAGGCACAACGAACACTCGAACGCGCATCGCAAGAACTTGGCACCGTTAAACGAGAAGCTCGGCGTGGTAGACGGGAAGATTTCCTTCAGGATGTTCCCCGAGAAAGGACCGCAGGTTCAGTATCGTCCGAGCGAGCCGCATCGCGCGGTTGAGAAACCAGTTCGGGACAAATTTGATCACAATTTTGTCCGCAGCGAGAAGGATGTGTTTAAACCGTTAGCCACGGTGCGCAATGATAAGGACTCGTCTGGAACTACGTTCGCGGGGAACGCACCGATCGATGTGATGCTGAAAGGTAGCTCGTCCGTGGCCGTACAGACGGGTGTCAACGACGACAGTCATCCTGAAGAGGCACGCGTGTTTCAAGTGGTTCCTAGGGTCGCAAAGGGGCTGCCGTCCGCGTACAATAACGTGTCTGTTCAAACCCATAACGAGCCGGAAGTGGAAGTCAAAGAACACTGGATAACTCCTCAATACAATGACGTCGTTCCGACATCAGACTTGATTTATCATCCTGCCGCGGATCCGAGCCATTTCGTTCTGGACCACAATCGGAATTATGCCGTAACGACTGATATCACTTCGAGAAACGAAGTTCTGCCCCTAGCGAGCAAGAACACGTGCGATCTTGTCAAGGAAGACACCGTTTGCGTGCCGTATTCGACGGAGAAGGCTCCTTTTCAAGCGATATCCGGTCATCAGTTGCCGGAACAGCGCGACCCGATCCTCCGAACGAGTCCGCGATGTGAAAATTATTTCTCGCCTAAATCGATTGATAATCGACCTCAAATGTATCCGACTTACATCCCGTGCGTTAAATCCGACAAGGATCCGTTCGAGGATCGGATGCCGAGCGTGTCGCATGATATTGGCAAAGAAAATCCTTTATGTACAAGCGACGGCGCTTTGCCAGAGGAACAGCATATCCAAAATCAGGATATCAGCGCGGACACCGGCGTCGTCACGCGGTATACTTGTGCGATCGCGACTGTCGCGTCCGCGGACGTTCCGGCGACACAACTCGATGAAGCCAGACTGGAATCTGGAACGTCACCAGCCTCGTCCTTGTCACCCTCGCAGCTCTGGCCGCATCCCAAACCGACCAGTAGCGAGACCATTACGACCGAGGACGAAATACGTCGACACAACATGCTACAGCAGAGCCTGGTTCGTCAGTTGCAGAACGAGCGAGCGATACTAACCGATCATCATACGTCTGTCGTCAACCAGTCTGGCAATTTTAATCAACCTAATAGTTTTCATCAATCTAACAGTTTTAATCAACCTCTGAGGTTCCAGCCGTCCGAAGCGCCGAAAAGACCGGAATTGCCGAAAAGACCGGAACCGCCGAAAAGACCGGAACCGCCGAAAAGATCGGAACCGCCGAGAAGATTGGAATCGCCGAGAAGATCGGAACCATCGAGGAAGTTGGAATTGCCGAGGAGGTTGGAGCCGCCGAGAAGATTAGAGCCACCAGCGGTCGTCACTGGTTTGCTGTCGGTAGCACCATCCTCTGGATTCAGCGCGAAGAACCGGATCACCGCTCTGAGAGAACAGTACGAACAACCGGGCCAATCGAAACCCATCCAGAAGGAACGCTCGCCGATCCCAAACGGCGCGAGCGGCGCGATGGACTCCAGTGACGAGTATCTCGTGTCCTGCACCAACAGGCCGTCCAGATCCATCGTCCTGTCAAAGTCCGAATCGTGGCATCAGCTGGCAATCTCGAAAGGCCATCACGCTCCGTCGCGCCCGGTACAGGATAAGTTACCGCCGCAAGCCCACGCTGGCGCCGGATCCTATCTTCCGAAACCGCCCAAGCCGAAGTCGCCGTCGTCCTTCAAGATGAAGAAGCAGTACGAGGCGTCTTCGTCCTCGGATAGCGTGAAGAAGATGGAGGACAAGATACGCAGATACTTCGATAATTCAGCGAACGACGGCACCGCGGAGACGAGGGACTCGAAAGGTAGACGTTTCTCGTCGCGCGACTCAACGAAAAAGGGCCTTGTCAGTCTATCTAGGAGTCGCACCATGCCGGGGATATGTGACGAAAGCCTGCGTCTGACCATCCCGACGGTACCACAGATTCCCGTGGCGAGCCTCAACAGTGCCGAAGTAGACAAGGTGTTTGATGACATCTTCGAGGAGGCTACCAGGACCGACGATCTTCATTTCTGATCGACCGATCCTCATCGTGTTGTATAGTGTCGGCGCGATGTACACTTGGGGGACTTGATGACGGTAAAAGCGGCGTCCGTTCGGAACTTTTGCGAGAGTACTCTTTGTGTGAGAGCTGAACATCGTGATAAGAACACGATTCTACGTTAATCTCGACGTGCTACGTAATCGGCCGACAACACGTGGATCGTTAAACTGTGATCTTGCCCACTTTGATTCGCATGGCCTGACGTCGACAACTGTCATCCAGGACGACGCATCGTCGCGCACATAGCCGGTTAATTCTAATCAGACTGTTTACGTTAGGAGTTTGCATACGATTATTGTTGGTTACTTGTTTTCATAAGACTGTTTCTGTAAACATTAACTGAGAATAACTGTTCTTTGAGGTTTAACTGATTCTCTACTTCCTTCCAAGTTGGCTTCGACTATTCGACGTTAATGGCAACGACCTACAGTACCTTCTTCATAAAAGTGAATTCAGTATTATCTAACTGCATTTTATACAAAATGCCGTGTGTTTTATTAGAATCAATGCTATTATTTGATCTATGATTTAATCATCTTTCATAGATAATTGAAGAGAAGCTAAAGGCACAGCTTCGTTAATACGCTTGAGAGATTTACAGTTTAATTTGCTGTGTGCAATTCTCGCGATCTTTTTGCGATCGCTGAGGTCGTTGTAGGTTTGAAATTCGCGTCGAAGCTCTTTTCGTACTAAACTATATACTAGGATCTAACAAATCTGATTAGAAGGTGCATATTTGAGGAAAAGAAACATTTCGCGACGCCGTGTCTGAACACGAAGCTACATAAGCTCTCTGCAAAGGCAACGCGTCTCGTGCAACCACGGCGGGATTGACGCCGATACATGGTCTTCGTCCATTACGAGAGACGGTAGTGCAGATCGATTCAACGACCATCGTCACCGCCGCCGTTGTCCAGCGACGCATCACTCTTCGTTCTTCTCGCTCAAGATCGCCTCGCTCCTGGCGCGGGGAAAGTCGAGCAACGCGGAGATCCAGTGTAACACCAGCAAGAAATAGAGAACACCGAGCAACGCATCGGTTATTCCTCCGTTACTCCGCTCAACGCGCATTACTTATTGTTGGCCACGAGCCACAAAATCCGCATATAAAACAGTCACGCGTCTTACACGCGCGACGGCTCGCGCTTACTTCCCTTTCCTCCAACTTTTTCTCTCTCAACATTTTTTCTCCTCTTTTTTTTATTTATTTATATTTATTCAAACCCAAGTCGCGAGCGCGACGCGCACGTTCTCGCGGACGGAGTCGCTAAGAGGACCATGCCAATCCCCGAATAAAGCAGTGAGTCACAGCCCTTATTTTTGTTGATCCTTTTGTTGCGCAGTGGCGTATACAGTTTTGCACTGCAGCTGCGAGTGTGTCTATGAGTGTAATATCGTTAGTGTACGCGTGCCGCGCGCTGGTACAATTGCCGAGCATAGCGATGCTGTGGCGGCCCGGGGATAAAACTCAGCTCAAAAGATCTCTCGAAAACATCCCCCGAAAATATGGAAACGCTTCGATGAGAAGCCAAAGGCGACGTTTCTCCACTTGGGATGTATAGCTCCACGACGCGCGATATTGCAATTACAGCTGTTACAGCAATTTATGGTATTTCGTGGCATTCGCGGAACGTATTGTCTCTAACTTTAATCAATCTGTTCAGAAGTTTAACGGGATTTTCAATATATTTGTTAGAATGTGCAATATTGCATAATAATAATTATAATTATATGCGCACATAATATTATTCAATAATATGTTACATTTATCATTTTTTTTTTATGAAGATTGTTGAAGAAATTAAGCAGCTTTTTGGATGGATGTTTTTGCACGGACGACTTGTGATATTGAGCTGGCATGGGGACAATCTTATTGCACGCGTTTGCGAACGAAACAATTTCTACGCGAATTTCGCTTTGATATCACATTCGAAACCGTCATGCAATTTTGCAAACTTGCGCGAAAGATGTTATTTTAAAGTTTTTGAAAACAAACTGGAGTAAAGCTCTCTATCGATGACAAAAGATCTATGTTGAATTGTATGTATTATATAGCTAATAGATCGAGAGATTGAGATAGACATTTTTAAATGCTTTTTCCTTGCGTTAATCCTTACGAATTACGGAATTACGTTAAAGAAAATTAGAATTCCTAAACGTAATCCGACCGATAATCTGACCCATGCTTGCCGCCACACCTCGTGACGTCCTCGTGGAAGTACAAGTGCGTCGTGCGTGCGTGTGTACACGCGCACGGACAATACCTTTTCAACGCTCGTGCATGGCGGTGGCGTCGATCGATGTCGGTCGATCGACGAATTTAGCACCTTATCCACTTTACAATCGAAACTCAATCCGAAGTGCTACGTTTTTCTTTCACTTCAGATTTGTTCACCTCCTTGTTACTTTAGATACTTTAGACAATTAATATCTGTACAGACACGTGTATGTTCCTCGTGATCGTGATATCCTTATGTTCTTTTTTTTCATACTAAACCGTTATTGAATTTGTTTGTAAGACGAACT